GCTGGGGAGTGCTGCCCTACAGAGGTTTCCCCACACTGTACAGAAAATGCAACTATTTCTACCCCCTCAACTAAGCACCCTCCTGGTCTACTCAAACATACATGAGTGCTAGTGAATAAATTAAAAAACACCGGGTCTTTTCTTTGAAAAAGGTGCTATGTAAATATGAGATCTCATCATTCTCTTCCATATGAGGAAGGGCAACCAATGAGAAGCTCAACTGTACAGAACTTTGCAAACAATTAAAAAAAAGTCAGCTCTGGTTTTAGGATGAGGATAACTTACTCTGAATTTAACATTCCAGAACTTGGTAGAATGCTGGCAGAGGAAGTCTGAGGTAGAATAATTTCTTTAATATCTTTCTTTGTTTTCAAATGATTAACTTACATGTAGCCTAAGCAGATTAGGCCAGCTGACACTTTCAGCGAGCGCCCATATATGTAGATTAGGTACTGCTTGTGACAGCACTGTTGAGGCCTGACCCAGATAGAGCTGTCAGGGAAGGGAGAGGGTCTAGTTATTCTCAGGCTTTCAGAGAAGGTTGCCAACAGGGCCAGTAGATGGAAAGAGACAGAGATCTAGAGAGAGATGGAGACAGCAGCTGACAAAATACTTCATTAAATTGCCAAGTCCTCAAGCCATCTAGTTTAGCTCCCTCAGCAACTGTTGAATCAGGCTCTAACCTCAAGTTTAAAAAGCCTGGCTATTCGTTTTGCAATCCCCTCATGTCATCTAGTCTTAAGAGAGGGATGCTTGGGTTGATCTGATCTGTTACTCTCCAGATTTTTTTTTAAAAAGAAATTCTCCAGCAGCATGCCACAGGTGTAATGAGGAAAACATCCTGAGAAGTAGAAAGAAAAGTCTATATTTCAATGTCAAAAGCCTGAAAGGAGTGGAATAAAAGAAAACCAGGGACAGGCGGCACTTGAGGAAGCTGCAGACAAAGAGAAAATGGTGGAGGTGGGGGGTGGGGAGAGATTTCTTCTTCCCTGTCCAACCAACCTCATAAAACTTGATTTTTGTTTGCTTTTTATTTTTCAGAATCATGATTTCAGGTTTAGCTATAAAATAAGCCCCTTGCTTTGCCACGCCCAGCCCGCATTCTGCTCCCTGCATAAGCAGTGTTCCGAATGAAGCTTTTGGCCTTTATCATCATTAAAAATAACAATAATAAAATTGTTCATATCTCTAATTCCAACTCACATAATCCCACCAAAAGCAGACACAGTACACGTACGAGTCAAGAGACCAAATAAGTCTTTTTTTTTTTTTAATGAGAACATCTACGCCAGACGAGAAAATTACTACGAGGAGGAAAAACACTTAACAAAGAAAATTAAGTGCGCCAGCAGATTCAATATGTTATTTCAAAGTTTACGGCTCAAAGAATGAAAGTCTGATGAGGTAAAATTAGCACTGTTAAGAAAACACTCCAAAGTGACCCTGCAATTGGAAAGCTGCAAGCTTCTTCGAAAATCTCTCTCACCGCCGTTAACCTTTGGCTGAGCTGAGAGAGAATACTCTCTGGACAAGAAAGAGGGGGCCTTCCATTGCTACATTCTGTGGATACTTCCAAATGAGGTGCCACCCACTGTGGCTATTTGGTCCTTAGGTTCTGGCTATTGGGACCCAGACAGAACTCGCCAGATATTTGCTGACCACAGAGAAAAGATGCTTCTTCCCAACATACTGACCCTCAAAGCCTACGGACAGAAAGCATCAGTATGACTTGGTCCCAAAGCAAAATTCTTCACCAAACAGATAACCTGCTCCTTATAAGATAGTAAAAAAAAAAAAAAAAAAAAAAAAAAAAAAAAAAAAAAAAAAAATTGCACGTACATGGGGAAGAGAGAAGAGATGGAAAAGGGAAGGACTTAAAATGCCTTATTTCAAAAAAATAAATAAATAAATAGATAAAGGCAGGACTCACCAATCTCAAGGCACTACTAAAATACTACCAATTATGGAGACCAGAACAAACACCAAGAGAAAAATTAAAATGTTCTTTTTGTATCTGGATAATTTCTCTAAACCCCAACTCTGATTGCTGTACAGGCTCCCTTGGGCCCCAACTTCCAATAATAAATGTTTGCCACATTATTGTGCTGCTTGCTGGGATACGAGGGGCCCTACTTCTGTTAAGTGGGCCAGTGGTCAATTAGTGAAGTTGTAGTCTTGTTTGATCTCTGAGAGAAGACAGCTCTATAAAATATCATCAGGGTTGCACACAAGCTCCATCACTTTTTATTATTCCTCTGCTCAAACCACATGCTAAATTAAGTTAAAAAAATTTTAAAAGGACCACCTTCAGCCCTTCAGCCTCCCTCTTTCTCTCTGCAGAAACATGGTAGATGCGTAAGAACATAGTTATTGCAGATGTTACTAAAGTTAAAAAAAAAAAATCCCTCCACACAATTAACCCATGGGCATAAACACACACACACAACTGGGAAAGGGAGAAACTCAACAGGTTACCGGAATTCTCTAGAATTCTGAGATTTTTAACTCAAAGTTGGCAACTAATGTATGCAATACAGAGAGAGAGACTTCTGGCTTTCACTTAAAAACCCCTCCCCTTTCACCAAACTGTGCTCCTGCAAAGTGAGAGAGGAAAAAAAAAAGTAAGAAAGAAAATATATCAATTTTTAGACTGGGGATTGGTTGCATTTTGAGAAAATTGATTAATTTTCAGTAAACTGACTCAAGGATTTTCTATATCCTAGAAATGAAAATTCTTTGCCAACCTGTGAGAAAGGAACACCAGTTGTCTTTTTCACTAAACTCCTCATAACCAGTGCAGCAGTCATAAGCCAAGAAAGATCAAATAATCTTGTACTTTCTTTGGGTACTGATAAATTCTTACTAATTGAGGTCATTAATTTAAACAGAGTGTTAAAGAGGCATCAAGGTATGACGGTCTTCCTAATAAAGAAGTTTTTCCATTAAGACCTGGAATAAAATCACCAAGTTTGCTGCACACCTGATGACAATAACTTTTTGTCCTCTATAGCCACTTCCTGAAAATTTTAGGTTCTGTCTTCGAAGAAACACATCTCTTAACAAGTATGTGGAATCATTAGTTTCCTCCCTGGTGAGTGAGTAAGTTGGCAGGGGGTGAGGGGGATAAGCATGCAGAAGATGGAAGGTTGCAGTGACTGAGTTTAGCACTTAGCATTATGGTAGGTCAAAAAGCACCTCAGACATTTCCCCCCCAGAACAGTTTATAGCAGAAGAGGGGCTCCACTTTCTAGTGACAGCCCTAGGGAAAAAAAAAAATTAACCCTACCTAGTAAATCTGCCTTCATAAAATGAAGACCTTTTATCTCACGGTATAACCTCCTCAGTGCATTGTAAAAATAAATAAGTTAACTGGGTAAAGACTTGGCAATATCAAATGAACTCTTTGAAAATCCTGTAAACTAAACCTTAAAAACCTAGTAGAATGCAAATCCTGGTAAGAAACATTTTAAAACAGCGAAGAAAACAATACTTTTCAAAATCTTATTCTCCTCTTTTTTTTTCCAAATTGTGTTATCGACCTTCCAAGAGCAGAAGCAACAGAGAAAGGTGACAAATTGCTGGACTTAAGTCGCCAAACAAAGATGTTAAGGCTAACAAAGAAAATTTGGAGAAGTCACAGATAAAAGAAAATAGCTAGGAAATGCAGAATAACACACAAGTCCATGGAGACATCAGCACCAGGCCAACCTGAGGAATTAATTCCCCAGTCAATACTCCCTCCCTCACCAGACAAACTAAAGTCTTAATTTGCTGGGGAAAAAAAAAAAAAAATCTTTAACATGGTCTTCAAGAAGCTCAGCAACTGCAGTAAGAATTTTTAATATGTAAGATGAAACTGCCTGCCACTTTTCTCATGTCATAATTGAAATTCCGGGGCAAGATTATAGCTGATAGGTCACTAACAGTTCTTACTCAATTTGTTAGAACTCATGTTTTAAAATGCAAGCATGTCCTTAAAGTTAAAGAATATAATGAAGAGCCTCACTCCTCCCTCCTCAGTGCAGATTTCTGAGCACACTGGAATAGCAGGAAATGCCTTACAAAAATATTTTTCCAATACTTTTGTATGTCCAACTTAAGCCTAGTTAAATTGTTCATTAAAATAATATTGTCCTCTTTACAGATCTGATGCAAACCTGAATTAGGGGGCTGTGAATCTGTTATAACCCCACAAAGAAACTTTGAAAGAGAAAATCAACCCAAGCGACTACTTCCAACATAGTTGACCAACGCTCAGAAACTTGTGAGGGCAAATCCTGCCCAGTCTCTACCAAGAAAGTTCCCCTCTGCCTGCTCTAAAAGTGCCTGGTTGGATTCTCTCTCCGCTGACCTCCAACCCTGGAGCAAGTCTCCAATTTTTTCCAGGGAAGGAAGGTCCCACCTTCACACAGCGACCCTCAGCATCCAGAGACCACTTTCTTTCCCTAACCGGGGGTTCCATTTTATCTCTTTGGAGGAGGCGGGCTGAGAATCTCTTGGGCTAGTCTCTTTGCCTCTAACCCGCCACAGGCTGAAAGGCAAACCCTAACAGACCTGAAGAGGAGAAATTGCCTGTATTTCTGATCGAGGTTCTGGGACCTTGAGGAGGGGAGGGAAAAAGGAGTGGAGGGCCTAAGGGTTTTATCTCCGAAAGTGGCACTTGCAATCGGATTTAAGTTTGGGGCCCAAGGTACCTGAAGTACCTGAAGGTAGGGAGGATTCTAGGCTACTGGGAGAGTTGTCAAGGAATCTAGAAAGGCAAGAACCAGCACCCAGAGCACGCAGCAGGGATTTGGGGCGCTCAGGTTTAACCTTTGGCAGAACGGAGTCCCCAGGAGGGCTCCAGATTTAGGGCAGCTCTTTCTGCGAAGAAGAAGGCTTGCTACGAAGACTGCCACGGGCAGTCGTTTCGCGGTGGGAGGAGCGGCCAGATACCTCAGAACGCAGAGTGACTCTGCGTCCTGGGCCGAAAGGGGACATTTCTGAAAGGAGAAACTTACCGCATGTCCCCGTAAGGTCCAGAGTAGCTCTCCATCCAGGGGCCCATCTCGCTTTTTACACAGCTGGGACTGGGATAGGGCACTCTGCTTACCACGCCGCCGGGGTACCACACATCGGGTGCGGGAAAGTCTCCTTCCTGGCCCGCCAGTCCCTGAGGTGGCCTAGCATAGCCGTAAGGGGCTACGGCCCCTGCCTCGCTTGCCCCGCCGCTGCCACCTCCGCCACACGGCCCATACAACTGGAGTTTGCTGCACACCTGATGACAATAACTTTTTGTCCTCTATAGCCACTTCCTGAAAATTTTAGGTTCTGTCTTCGAAGAAACACATCTCTTAACAAGTATGTGGAATCATTAGTTTCCTCCCTGGTGAGTGAGTAAGTTGGCAGGGGGTGAGGGGGATAAGCATGCAGAAGATGGAAGGTTGCAGTGACTGAGTTTAGCACTTAGCATTATGGTAGGTCAAAAAGCACCTCAGACATTTCCCCCCCAGAACAGTTTATAGCAGAAGAGGGGCTCCACTTTCTAGTGACAGCCCTAGGGAAAAAAAAAAATTAACCCTACCTAGTAAATCTGCCTTCATAAAATGAAGACCTTTTATCTCACGGTATAACCTCCTCAGTGCATTGTAAAAATAAATAAGTTAACTGGGTAAAGACTTGGCAATATCAAATGAACTCTTTGAAAATCCTGTAAACTAAACCTTAAAAACCTAGTAGAATGCAAATCCTGGTAAGAAACATTTTAAAACAGCGAAGAAAACAATACTTTTCAAAATCTTATTCTCCTCTTTTTTTTTCCAAATTGTGTTATCGACCTTCCAAGAGCAGAAGCAACAGAGAAAGGTGACAAATTGCTGGACTTAAGTCGCCAAACAAAGATGTTAAGGCTAACAAAGAAAATTTGGAGAAGTCACAGATAAAAGAAAATAGCTAGGAAATGCAGAATAACACACAAGTCCATGGAGACATCAGCACCAGGCCAACCTGAGGAATTAATTCCCCAGTCAATACTCCCTCCCTCACCAGACAAACTAAAGTCTTAATTTGCTGGGGAAAAAAAAAAAAAAA